CTTCCGTCTCCTGTCACCTGGTCTCCCTGTGCCCCCAAACCCTGGTGCTGTCACACACCTGCCCCACCTCCCCAGACCCCAGATCCGGCTTCCAGAGTGAGCCAAGCGCCTGAAATAGCCCTTTGACCTTGGGCGAGTCGTTTCACCCTCCAAGCCTCAGTTACCCCCAAGGACGGGGGGCCCGCACTAGGGGTCACCCGGTGGCTGGACACAAGCAAGCATAAGTGCTGGGGAATGAGTTCTCTGCGCGTCGCTTCTCCAAGCGGACAGGGAAGGGCAGGTGCCAAGCCGTGGCTGGTGGCTGGAGGAGCGCAGTGACCGCCCAGGCAGTTGTGCTGAAGGGCCCACACCCAGGAGCCAGACGTGGCCCTTCCCCTCTCGGTCCCCCTTCCGCCGGGCCCCTCTCGGTCCAGCTGGACCCGGTGGCCTTCGCTTGGTTCCAGGAGGCGAGTGCACTCTGGTGCAGTGACTTAGAAGGGAGGCCGGCTTTGGAGTCGCCTCCTGCAGAGTCTGGGTTTCACCTCCATTACTGAGAGTTCCTCACTTTGTTTTGGTTGACACATCTGTCAGTATCACTCCTAGCCCCGCCCTCCTGGCTCCCACGTGATTGAGGGAGCTGGACCTTCCTGTATTTACTTTCTACTCTAACATTATGTAAGTGTCAGCAGTCTTTACTGTCCACAAGTGCAGTTCTCCAGCGAACAGGAGAGGGCATCAGGGCAGGAAAAGATGATGAAGCTGTGCCTTGTTGTCTGAAAGCTTACGCTGTGGGGTAGCTCTCGGCTCTGGTTGTTTGGGTTCCATGTTGTCAAGAACAGAGGAGTGAGTTGGCCTCCTGAGTTGGCCTTTTGAAATCTGCTTATTTATTTAATAAGCTTCCATTCCGTTGGTATTCACCTGGGAGCTCGTTGTAGTTTCACCATAGCTCCTTCCAAGAAACCAGGTGGCCAGGCGCTGAGTCGGTGGCTTTTAGGTACACAGAAAGAAGGGTGAAGCAGGTGTGTCTCTGTGGTCTCATTTGGTAAAGGTAGTTAGTGTTTTGGAGAACATTGCTTGGGGACTTCCTTTGGTGAGGAACAACACTGCAAGCAGAGTAAAGACCCAAGTCGTAAGCAGGTCTCTCATATGTAAATTGTGTTACCCTTAGGCCTGAAAAGCTCAGCTCATTTGTTATAAAGGAAGGCAAGAAGCCTAGCTGTTTACTTAAGTTTTTTCAAATCAACTTCCTGGGTAAAAACACTGTCAGTTCAGGCCTTTACGAGGGAAAGCAATTCAACTCCAGGCAGCTGTGAGTTTCAAGCCTGCTCTTGTGTGGAAGTCCGCTGTGAATCGGGATCCCACGGCGCACTTCCACACTCATGTGGGCAGCAGTTACCCCCGGAGGACAGCCACGTACCTCTAACATATTTCTGTCGTTTGTTTTGGTTGCAACTATCCAAAAATCGTGATCTATTTAGATAAATGGATGCAGTTATTTTGTTTTGTTTTCCACAGTTTGCTTTTTGAAGTCTCAGGCTGCTCACTGGGAGCAACTTCATGCCACATTTTGTGACTGGTGATTGTGGCACGAGGAGCTGGCCAGTTGGCCGTGCTCTCCACGTGCTGATTTGCTGGGCACGTACATTTGAGGCATTATTTTTAAAGTACAGCTTCTAAAGGAGTAAAAGTAGATGTTAAGAGTGAGAATTGTGTTCGGGTAGAGTCCTTGGCTTTAAAATCACTGGAGTGGAGAAGAGGGGCTGGCGCCTTGCCTTTCACAGTGGCTGACCTTGAACAAGCCCATTTCAGAGTCCCCTTACAATAGTTACTGACTCTTACAGGATTCTCGTCTGAAATGTTAGGCACACCCCGCCTGCCTCTTAACTGCATTTGTATGCCAGAAAAAGTCTCTGAGGACTTTAGTTTATCATGGCTTCAAGTTACCTTGGGACAATGTTTTGGGTGTTTTGGGTGAAGATTGGCCTTGAAAGTACTTTGGAGCTTCCTCTGAGACCAAACTAGGTTTTGAAGATAGCTGGTGACAGAGAGCAATTCCCCTGAGAGTTGAGAAATCAGATAGGTTTCCTTGGGTTTTGTGGACTGGAACAAATTTATTTGCATGTTAGAGATCACTTTGGTTTTTTTTAAAGGTATATTTCTGTTTATGCTTGTAAGAACGGGGGTCTAGGACAGCAGTGCGGGGTGAGGGGATTCACCAGACAGTGGGGAGCAGAACAGGCAGAGAGACTGAAACACACTGCTGAGGGGAGCAGCGGGCCGGTCAGGATAGGTCTGCTGTGCCCTGTGGGTCAGCTCCCTGGGCTGGGATCAAACTCATGTTGCAGTGGCTGGAGATAATTTGATAGTGCTGAGACTTAACCCCTTATGCCACCAGGGAGACCCCAGAGATCAGTTTTAAATTCAGCACTTTCAAAATAAAAAGTTTAATATACAGAGAAAAATCTGAAGGAAAATCTTCTCCTGTGATACTGGAGAAAAACGCACATATTCATTATTTGTATAAAGCAATATTTGGGGCTTGGGGACTTGTGGGCTGAATGCTGACCTGTCTACTTTCTCCCCGTGCCTAGTGTCCAGAGGACCAGAGGTTAATTTATTCTGGGAAGCTGTTGTTGGATCACCAGTATCTCAGAGACTTGCTTCCAAAGGTACCCAACTCACACATTAACTTTTGAATGTTTTATAGCACCTATCACGTTCATTCGGGCCTTAAAGTCTCTCCTTGCTACTTTTAGCAGGAAAAGCGGCACGTTCTGCACTTGGTCTGCAACGTGAGGAGTCCTTCCAGGGTGCCGGAAGCAGGCTCGAAGGTACGTCTGCTCTCTGCTCCTCCTGGCAGGGACACGCTGTGTCATTCAGACACTGGTGGAAAGAAAGGTTGGGTCAAAGAGAGAGGCTCCCGAGCCTTTTTATCAAGTAATAGATTGCCTTTTCTTTGGAGAAAATTAGGGTTGGAAGTTGTTACCAACACAAATAAGAGAGTTTATTAAATAGTGGCAGATTATTTCATCCATGTTTTTGTGGAAAACTGGAGTCACCCCTGACTCCACCTTCTAAGGTGCAAGTTCACCTGAGTGACCGTGTACCCAGATCACTGAACTAAGGCACGTTGTGGGTTTTTATAGAATTGAGTACTTAACACGTTTCTTTTAAGGAAGCTTAGATGCCACCTCTTTTTTTTAATGAAGAAGAAATTTGCACCGTGATTATTTTACTTAGATAGGAAAAGACCAGACTGTCAGGTGGCCTCTACAGACTTAAGCTTGATAGTCAGACTCATTCAGATACACAGTGTTATATTCTAATGTGGTTTGGGTTCTACATTGGCACTGCAATGTAGTTCCTGAAACAGCTGAACATAGCTGTTGAACATATTTAACTTTTTAAATAAGAAGTATTTTCATAAGAAATTTTAAACTGCTGGTTATTTGTAAATCTTGCTGGGCAAATTTAATTTCTTCATTGAGTAAATTCAACGCCTTGTTTAATTTATGATCAGTAAACTTTCCCACCAGTGATAATTTCAGTAGAGGATTATAATGAAACTACAGGACAGTTACGTTAGGGAAAAATAAGGATGTTTTAGTATTTATATATTGAAATTGTGTTGACCAAATTTTAGATTATTGCATCTGGCTATGGTTGTCAAGTGCGGAGGTTGGGTGGGGGACTTACGCTGTCACACAATCCTCTAGCTGGGTTTCAGACGATGGCATCAGACCCTTTGCTCTGATATTCCTGCATTCCACTTGTTTAGGGTGCTGAGTCTACAGAGCAGCCCACCGGACTTAATCAGGGGCAGTCTGCTGGGGACCTCTCAAGTGATGGTGTGAGGCAAAGGGAGGTTTTTCGGAACCCTCCTCCCTCTGGAGGGGAGAACGTCTCCAGGTAAGTATGATAAAAAGAATGTGCACCTTTTCCATCAATTGAAGAATAAAATGTATTTTTACTATTCGGTCATAGGCTGTACAATGTGCAAGGTTTTGCTTTATTGGGGCTGTATTTTAAAGATCTCATAGATTTAAATTTCTTAAGGCAGTCTTTTTTTTTTTAAGATTTATTTATTTGTGCATACAGAACTGGGGTAGAGGCCAGAGGCTCAGGGGCGGCGAGAGTCTTCACCATAGATAGAGTGGGGTGGGGAGCAGAACAGGCAGATCGACAAAGTACACTGCTGATGGTTGCAGCGGGTTGGCCAGGAGAGGTCTGCTGCGCCCTGTGGTCACCTCCGGGGCAGGCGGGAATCGAACTCTTGCAGAAGTGGCTTTAGCTTCTCAGTGCTGTGCTTTAACCCTCTGCGCCACCAGGGAGGGCCCTAAGGCAGTCTTTTTTTAAAGATTTTATTTTATTTATTTATGCATTCAAGAGCTGGGGTACAGGCCAGAGGTGTGGGGGCAGGGTGAGAAGATTCACCAGGACAGAGTGGGGAGCAGAACAGGCAGATTGTCTGAAATACACTATGCAGGGAGCAGCGGGAGATGGAGGAGGTCTGCTGCGCCCTGTGGGTCACTCCCTGGCCGGGGATCGAACTCAGGCCATAGTAACTGATGGTCGCTTGATAGGGCTGACACTTCAACCCACCAGGGTGGCCCCAAGACACAGTCTTCAAGGAAAACATAAGCAAATAAGTGTGCATATACTGAAAATAGAGGCACTTCCCCTCCTGCATGGATGTGCTTTGCCTTTTCTTGACCTCATGAGGGAATTAGTGCCGCTGCAGAAAAAACAGCTGTTGTAAGCACAGCACAGCTGCTCTGGTGAGTGGCTTTGTGCTTTGTTTATTGTGACAGTGGATGACAGGAGGTGAAGAGATTAAGAAATGTTCTGCCAGGGACTGTGTTGGTGGTGCTAGGAGAGGCCATTTCTTTCCCATGGTCAGAGCTCTTCCTTAGCACAAGAGCCAGAAGAGACTAGATGGTCTGAGGTTGGAATTTCATAGTTCTTGCACCACTTTATTATGGAAATTCCTGTGGGGGAAATAATTTGTTAAGTACATGTTGACAAACTGCCCCCCTCCTTGCCCCTGTTCCCCTTTTCTCAGTAATTTTAATACTTGATTGTTGATCAGGTGAGGAGGAAAAAGAGTCGAGCAGTTGTTACTCACGGGAATGGGAATTTGAAATCCACGCAGAAGTAGAGGGAGTTATGGATGAACCTCCACATGGCGTCTCAGGCCGGTCTTGCTCAAGGCTCTGCTGTGCTTGTTCCCTCTGCTTTTCCAGATATCATGTCCCTTCCCCCCACATAGGCAGCACGTACCTGAAAACCTTGTAGTTATCCCCCATTCCTGCAGGGCCGCCTGCAAGCTGGCAAAAGCACTAATGCTCTCATTTCCATGTGCTATAACCTTCTTAAGTGATCAAAAACGGTGATATACCAAGACCTGCTTGTACTGGGATAGTTTTAGAAATACTCTGCATGTGGAATTGGACTAGAGGCTGTCACATGTACATGGATGTTGCATTCATTATTGGCTAGAAACACTTAAAGCTGTCTCCCTTGGGCCTCCCTGTGGCCCAGGGGTTAAGTGTCAGCGCTGTCACTGCTACAGCCTGAGTTTGATCCCCAGCCAGGGAGTGACCCACATAGCGCAGCACACCTCTCCTGTGTCCCCGCTGCTCCCCTCAGCAGTGTTCTTCAGCAGATCTGCCTGTTCTGCTCCCCACTCTGTCTCTGGGGAATCCTCACCACCACGCACACCTCTGGCCTACACCCAGTTCTTACATACATAAGTAATGAAAATAAATATTTAAAATAAATTTAGTTCTCATTTATTTAGACTAAACCAACTCAAAGGGAGCATTTTAAAGAAATCTGTCATATGTGGCATTGTCCTGGCAATAGTGGCCCAGCCTGTCAGTATATCATAGGCCTTTGTCACCCAGATAAATGTTTGATATGCTTAAAAAATAAATGAGTGAATAATAAAAGTGTCTGTCTTAGGCCTGAAGCTCCCCAGCTGGCGTTCCAAGGCCTGGGGCCTGGCTTCTCGGGGTACACACCCTACGGCTGGCTGCAGCTCTCCTGGTTCCAGCAGCTGTACGCACGGCAGTACTACATGCAGTAGTAAGTGGGTCGGTGCGGGTGTGGCCAGGCCTCCCGGGAACGGGCCAGCCGCCTGCCTAGCCGGCAGCTGGGGAGGCAGGGGTGAGCCCAGTGCGCTGTGGGCAGCTTCTCGGCGCCTGTTCCGTGGGGTTCTGGGGGCGGAGTGTGAGGGGAACCCAGCCAGTTTATATGTTGGTGCGGGGGTGCTTGTGTCGGATACACAGTTTGATGGCTCGGTTTAGAATTTGTCACTTCCTGTCCTATTTGGTATCGTTGGAGTTTTTAACTGGAAATTTTTAATTTGTTGCAGTACCACTTTTATAGTGGCCTTGAGGTTTAATTTCAGATGAAGGTCACCCTGGGATTTCTCATAAAAAGGCATTTGTGGGTGGGCCTGCAAGTAGGGGCCCCCGAGTCCAGGAAGCTCAGCGAAAGGCCCCACGTAAATCAGGTCGTGAGAGCCGCAGTCCGCTCCGTGCTCTGCTCTCACAGTACCTGCCTCTGTCGTTCCTATTTTAGTTTGGCCGCCACGGCTGCATCCGGGGCTTTTGTGCCCCCACCAGGTGCCCAGGAGCTCCCTGTGGTCGCTGCACCCGCCCCGGCGCCCATTCACAACCAGTTTCCCGCCGAAAACCAGCCAGCCAATCAGAACGCGGCTCCTCAAGTGGTGGTCAACCCTGGGGCCAATCAGAACTTGCGGATGAATGCCCAGGGCGGCCCCCTGGTGGAGGAAGATGACGAGATCAACCGGGACTGGCTGGATTGGACCTACTCGGCAGCCACCTTCTCCGTGTTCCTCAGCATCCTCTACTTCTACTCCTCCCTGAGCAGATTCCTCATGGTCATGGGCGCCACCGTGGTCATGTACCTGTAAGCTTCCACTGCGCGTTCCCACCCTTACTGGGAGTTACACGGCCCTGCCAGCCAGTCGGGCACAGACGCTGCGGTGTTTGAGCAAGCTCAGTCATCGCTGAAGGCAGTGCATTTAAGTGTTGTGTCATTTCTGGCACTTTCCACGCAGGGAACTCTTATGGTGGTGGTGCAAGAGCGTGCTGTGTGTTTGTACTAGAATATTCTCTTCTGTCCCAGGTACGTAAGGTACCTGCCACCCTCATGATAAACCTCGAGAATACAGCCACACAGAGGCATGGAAAGGAACATTCTGTTTTATTGACGGTCCTAGTTAGCTTTACTGCCTATGGCTGCCTTCCAGGGTGAGAGTCAGCACCCACAGGTAGCATGGCCCTGAGAGCCAGGGAACATCACAGACCTGGCATGGCCGAGGTGGTGTCTCGAGGGGTGATTTTGCACCAGGCCCAGCTCCCTCCTCCAGATTTGAACATCTTTGATCATGTTTGGAGACATTGTTGATGGTCACCAGGGGGGTGGCATCTGTTGGCATCTAGTGTGTGGAGACTAGGGGTGCTGCTAAGCACCCCTGCGGCACAGAAAGCGCCAGTCCAGCCCAGCCCAGCCCAGCCCATTGAGAAATCGTGTCCATTGAGAAATCCTGGCCTAGATGACATGCCCTTGCTTAGGCTAAAGCCTGAAGATGAAATCTCCTTCACAGTAAAAATGCATTTCTATTTTAGTTTTTTATGATTTTTAAAAAGATTTATTTATTTATGCACACAGAACTGGGGTACAGGCTAGAGGTGCAGGGGCGGTGAGAGGATTCACCAGAGGCAGAGTGGGGCACAGAACAGGCAGATCCCCTGAAACACACTGCTGAGGGGAGCAGCGGGCAGGTCAGGAGAGGTCTGCCGCGCCCTGTGGGTCACCTCTGGGGCGGGGCTCGAACTAGCACTGAAGCAGCTGTGGCTGGCTTGCAGTGCTGCATCCTAACCTGTTGCGCCATCAGGGAGGGCCCTTAAAGATCTTTTTAATGGAGAAATATTTAGAGTAAAATAACCAACACTCCTATGTCCAGAGTTAATCATGTTAATTCTTTGTCACATTTGCTTAAAGATTGGGGTTTGGTTGGTTTTCCAACTAAAACTTGTAGTTGATTCTTTACATCCTGCAGTCTCTAGAGGCATCTGTTTTAGTGACTCGATTTAGGTCTTACTCTTACATCTTACATATGTTACAGCCACAATTCTGTGTGTGTACTGAACTCCCCCACTCTGTTCAGGCTTTCAAGTGTTAAGTTCAGTTCAGACGAGCAGCTTATGGCTGCTGACCGAGTGAAGGTGGCTGCACCCGGACCCTGAGTGCAGGGGTCCAGCTGGGTGTGATGGGGTGTCTGGGTAGACAGGCTTGACCCTGAACTTCTGGTCAGGATGCTCTGAGTGGGGGATGGGAGCGAGCGGGTCTTGCCTGATTAAACAACTTCTAAGTGCTGAGATGGACGGACCTCTCTGTGCTTCCTTTGAAGGCACCATGTCGGGTGGTTTCCCTTCAGACAGAGGCCGGCTCAGCACTTCCCGGATGATGGTCCTCTTCATGAAGCTGTGAATCAGGACCCCAACAATAACCTCCAGGTAGGGGCTTCTCGTGGAGCCAAATGTGAGAGGCTGGGCACCCAAGTCCCCAGTGTCCAGTGTGGTGGCTCACCATCTTACTAGGGCATCTGCTTCAGTATTTAAATATTTTCAGTCTAGGAGCAGTAACTACTTTTTTTTTTTTAATTTATTTATGCATAATGAACATATACCAGAGACATTCTACAGGGATGGAGTGGGGAATGGGATCAAAAACGGGGTGGGGAAGTGCACAGGACTTTGGTGATGGCACACGGGTGGTTTGGTGATGGGAAGCCCACGGGGATTACAGCTGAGATGGAAAAAGGCACAAAATGATGTAAAAACAAACTGTTATAATAAAAGAAAGATTTATTTATGCATACAGAACTGGGGTACAGGCCAGAGGTGTGGCGGGGGTGAGAGGACTCACCAGAGACAGAGTGGGGCGTGGAACAGGCAGATGGACTGAAACACACTGCTGAGGGGAGCAGCGGGCAGGAGAGGTCTGCCGCGCCCTGTGGGTCACTCCCTGGTCGGGGATCGAACTTGTGCTGCAGCGGCTGCGACAGTGCTGTGCTTAACCCGCTGCGCCACCAGGGAGGGCCAGCAATAACTACTTTTAAAAGATTAAACGTGCCGTAGTCATCAGCTCTTTGTTAAGTGTGTCAAGGCATACGCAAATGACATTTCTCGTGTATTCGGTGGTCGGTAGCCATGTCCGCCTCGGAGGCTGCTGGGAACATCTCTGCCACGGCAGAGCCCTGGAGGCACGAGAAAGGCCCCGCCAGCCCAGCGTGCTCGCTGGGTCCTGCCTGCCCGGCCGCTTTCCCATGGGGCGAGGGAGCGGGGCTGACTTCTGACTTGGTTCTCCTTGTGTCTCGCCCACAGGGAGGCCCCGGTCCTGAGGTCGAGGACCCCGACCAGCTCCCTGCGGACCGCGTGCTGGGGGAGGGGCAGAGCGGCCCCTCGTTCATGAGCACGGCCTGGCTCGTCTTCAAGACTTTCTTTGCCTCTCTCCTTCCCGAAGGCCCCCCCGCCATCGCACACTGACGGCGCTCGCGCTCTGGCTGTTGGAGACGTCCTTGAGCGTGGACTGGATTGTGGGGCTCCAGCCAGCTGTCCCCCCCGGACGCAGCGGGGGCACAGGATTCCTAACAGCCCACGCGAGTGGCGCGCCTTTGCGGCCAAACAAAAGCAGAAGGCAGGACAGGAAGCCGAGATACAAATTGATGAACAAAAAAATGCTCGCGGCTTCTCATGTCTTTATTCTGAAGAGCTTTAATATATACTGTGTAGTTCAACAGACCTGTGAGTAGAAGGCCCTAGTGTCGCATGTTCACGCCTGAGGAGCTGCTCCAGACGTGTGTCTGCACGCGTGTTTGTGCATAGGTGTCAGAGGCGCAGAAATGGTTCTGCTGGTGCGATTTGATTCCTGTTGGAATGTTTCAATTACACTAAGTGTACTACTTTATATAATCAATGAAATTGCTAGACATGTTTTAGCAGGACTTTTCTAGGAAAGACTTCATGTATAATTGCTTTTTAAAACGCAGTGCTTTACTTCAAACGAAGGGGAACTTTGCAGAGGTGACGCCTTTGCGGGGTTTTCAGTTCAATAAAGCTTTACTATGAACGACCCGGGCAGAGGCTCGCTGGCAGTTTACTTCGTGTCTGTGGTCGCTGACGGCCCACAGCTGAGTTGCTTATTGTCAAGTAACTTCTGGTGCTTTTTTTTTTTTTAAAGATTTATTTATTCATACAGAACTGGGGTACAGGCCAGAGGCTCAGGGGCGGTGAGAGGCTTCACCAGAGACAGAGTGGGGAGCAGAACAGGCAGATCGACGAAGTACACTGCTGAGGGGAGCAGCGGGTGGGTCAGGAGAGGTCTGGCTCGCCATGTGGTCTCCTCCGGGGCAGGCGGCAGGCGGGAATCGAACTCATGCGGAAGTGGCTTCAGATTCTCAGTGCTGTGCTTTAACCCGCTGCGCCACCAGGGAGGGCCAAGGTGCTTTTTTTTTTTAATGAGAAGACTTGGCATTAGCGATAAGGCCACGGAAGTGTGATTGACCAAGGACCTACCGGGGTTGGCCCACGATTCCCGATTTAAACGGTTCTGGCTTCCAGGCAATCGCCAGATTTAAACGCAGTGGCGGGAAGAGCCCTGCACCTTGGCAGGTCTCTGGTCGTTTTTCCTGCTCGTGTCGTGCCTTTGTAGACTGAGCTTATTCTTGGTGGCTTCAATTCTTGACTCACTCTGAGGCTCATCTCAAAGCACAGCTTCCACATGACTAGGGTGTTTTTAGCAAAGGAAGTCAGTCAGTTTCTTCTATCATGGTTGTGATCATTTAAATTAGTCGTCATTACTGGAAACATTTACATAAACATTTATGTTTACATTCACTAAGGAATTCACAGCAAGACTCACAGTAACAACAGTATTTTTTTTTTTACATAGAAGAACTGGGGTGCGGTTCTGACTCTGACTCACCAGAGACATAATGAGGAGCAGAACAGGCGGATCTACTGAAACACACTGCTGAGGGGAGCAGCGGGGAGACAGGAGAGGTCTGCTGTGCCCTGTGGGTCAGTTCTCAGGCTGGGGATGGAACTCGTGCTGCAGGGGCTGTGGACAGCTTCATAGTGCTGAGGCTTAACCCCTTGTGCCACCAGGGAGGGCCTCCACCACAGCTTTTAAGTTCGGTTTTTTTTTTAAGGTATGTTACATTCTACTTTAGTAGAAGAAACATTTGAAATGAGCTTGGGGTCAAGTCCATTTGGAAATCTGCGGTCCATTCTTTCCTCTGCAGGCAGGCTGAGGTCCTGAATATGTGTGTCTGAAGTGGGGGCTGCTGTCTGTGCTCAGACCCCCTGGAGCTAAGCAATGAAAACCTCGCTTGGAATCTAAGAAGTAAGCATGTTGGGTTAGAGGTGACATTTTACAGAATCAGCAGTGAAAATAAACATATTTTATACAGCCAGGCGGGAGAAGAGAAGCCACACACACCTGACAAGAAAGTTGTTCCAGGTCCTCTGTCCTTTCACCCGTTTCTGAGGAAGTTAAGCCTCTGTCTGAAGAAACGGTAATGGCCTCTCAAGGGCCATCTCACTCTAGAAGCCCTGTGCTTCTAGGCCTATAACTAGACTCACGTCTCAGCAGGCCCCCAAGGACCTAGTGAGCCTCTCTAAGGCCCTATATAGCCAGAGAACTAGGGGGTTTTCCAATTTTATTTTTAAGATTTTATTTATGCATACAGAACTGGGGATACAGGTCAGAGGTGCAGGGACAGTGAGAGGATTCACAAACAGTGGGGAGCAGAACCGGCAGATCAATGAAGTACCATGCTGAGGGGAGCAGTGGGGAGACAGGAGAGGTCTGCTGCGTCATGTGGGTCACCTCCGGGGCGGGGCTCAAACACCCTGAGGCAGCCATGGCTTGGCTTAGCTTTGCAGTGCTCCAGCCCTCCGCGCCACCAGGGAGGGCCCAGGTTTTCTGATTTACACCGGGAATATGGGGGTATGTGTGTGAATGACTAGTAAGTGGGCCGGCCAACAGGTTTTTCACTCACAGGCACAAGTACTCACGTCCCACTGTGGGCCAACTGCCGGTGGCAGCTCCCCGGGCTGCCAGTCTTGAGGACTGAGGCCTCACAGGAGCGGAACCTACCCATGGGCAGCCAGAGAGGAGAAAGGGGATGGTGCTAAGATGGCCAACACGCTGGCCAGTCCTGCCGGAATTTCCTCATTCACATCTCAGTAACCCCAGAAGGCCCAGACAACTCGACTCCTTTTATGGTGAAGAAAGGACCAGAGTTGAAGGGAGATGAAGTGACTGGCCTGAGTCTCACTGTTGGTGAGTTACTGTGTGGGGAGTGACAGGCAGCTTGCTCTCAGCCAGTTCTTTCTTTTTTTCTGAAGATTTTATTTATTTATTCATATAAGAGCTGGGATACTGGCCGGAGGCACAGGGGCGGTGAGAGGAGTCACCAGAGACAGAGTGAGGAGCAGAACAAGCAGACCAACGAAGTGCACTGCTGAGGGGAGCAGCGGGCAGACAGGAGAGGTCTGCTGCACCCTGTGGTCACCCCTGGATCCAACTCGTGCTGCAGTGGCTGTGGATAGTTTCATAGTGCTGCGCTTTTGCCCACTGTGCCATCAGGGAGGGCCCAAGTTGTTCTTTCTTTACAGACCCCAGACACAGCAGTCCGCTGGTGGCCTGTGACTAACAGAGCTGTACAGTCTCTGGGTGTCTAGGGTGACATGGTCTCCCCCATCCTTCTCCGGCCCACCCCACCCTCAGTGAGCAAGTCAGCAACGGAGTGTGTCCTGCCAGCCAACCCCACATACACCCACACACACCACGACGGTCGAGCGTGTCTTCCTGTGCCTTCCGGAGGGCGGTATTACATGCGTTTCCCCTGTGTCACTGCAGTCAGCTGGATCATGCCCCCTCCTCAAAATTTACCCCACCCTGATCCCTGCAACCTGTGAATGCTGTTCTGTTTGGCAAGACAAGGATTTTTCAGACATGATTAATGAAAGATGCAGAATGATTCTCCTGGATTAGTGGTGGGTCTTGTATGGAGTCACAAGTGCCCTCTGAGAGAAGCAGAGGGAGGTTTGACATGCAGAGAGGAGCAGACAGTGTGGACACGGAGGTGGAAACTGGGGTGACCAGCCAGAAGCCAAGAGGCCTCCGCAGTAAATGAATGTAAGAGTATTATAGTAAGTAACAACAAAAATACATTTTAAATAGCAGGGTTCAGAAGAGCACACGCAGTCTAAATTAATGTTTGTAAAAGATGTGTGTGTGTGTGTGGAGGGGTGCATCCATGCAGAGAAAAATATAGGGAGTAACAATTCCAAACATGTGAATTACCCAGCAAGATTCTTTCTGGTGGTTTAGGAAATAACTAGAACTGTATTTTGGGGCCCTCCCTGGTGGTGCAGTGGGTTATAGCACAGCACTATGAAGCTATCTGTAGCCACTGCAGCATGAGTTCGATCTCCGGCCGGGGAGTGACCCACAGGGTGCAGCAGACTTCTCTCCCCTCATCAGTATATTTCAGTCTCTGCCTGTTCTGCTCTCCACTCTGTCTCTAGTGAAACCTCTCCTCCTTACCCCCACACCTCTGGGCTGTACCCCAGTTCTTGTATGTATGAATAAATAAATCTTAAAAAAAATTAAATAAAACTATATCTGAAGGCTTTGAATACAAAGATCCTGAGCCCTGGACCAGTAACAATGGTAAACTGTTAGAAGAAATCTAGATGTTTAATTTGGGGTTTTGGCTCAATAAATTATAATGTAGCTACTGTGTAGAACATTACACTAAATTTCAACAGAGCTCTTGGATAAATGCACTTACTTATGTCTATGGAGGGATTATCAGAGTCTAGTAAGTACACGATCTTAGCCAGGCCGAGAAGCCATCACAGTCTAGTAAGTAAAAGGCCGTCTTAAAAGAAGGCATACAGGCCCTCCCTGGTGGCGCAGCGGGTTAAAGCACAGCACTGAGAAGCTTAAGCCACTTCCGCATGAGTTCGATCCCCGCCTGCCCCGGAGGTGACCACATGGCGTGGCAGACCTCTCCTGACCCGCCCGCTGCTCCCCTCAGCAGTGTACTTCGTCCATCTGCCTGTTCTGCTCTCCACTCTGTCTCTGGTGAAGCCTCTCGCCGCCCCTGAGCCTCTGGCCTGTACCCCAGTTCTGTATGCATAAATAAATAAATCTTTAAAAGAAGAAGGCATACAGTGTGATTGCATTTAGACGTGATAATTCTTGCAGAGGTTTGGGGGAAAGGCCTGCGAGACACACACCCCGGTGGTGAGGACAGCGGTCACTGCTGGAGAGATGGGTGGGGTCATTAGTACTGTACATTTTTTCCCTTACTTTGAATTATTTTTTATAATGATCATCAATTAAAGTTGTAGTAAAAAGTATGAGCCAAGAAAAAAAGTTTACAGAGAGAAAAAAAAGGCAGGCTAACATACAAGGACAGCTGCATCAGAGTAGTGATGTGAGCAAGAATTTTAGGCTTGCTGGCAAAAAAAATCAGGGAGAGCTTCCTGGAAGAGGCACCATGGGAACGAGAAAGAGATTCCTGGTGAGTGGAATCCCGGTGAGTGGCTGGTTGGCGCAGCAGGCTCTGAGAGCCTGTGGCCTCACAGGACACAGCCTGGCAACACGTGGGCCCAGGCTCCTGCCAGGGATGCGCTGGCAAAGCTGGGCAGAGCGGGAAGTCTCCTTTGCGGCCTTTGTCGATGTCCGGGGCATGAATACTCTCATCACAGCTCCCAGTGGAATGTCACTGAAGCAAATATCTCTGAGTCTCTAATTTTCATTTTTTTAAAAAAGATTTATTTATTTATACAAGAGCTGGGGTGTAGGCTCCCGGATTCACCAGAGACAGAGTGGGGAGCAGAAGTAGATTAATTGAAATACACTGCTGAGGGGAGCAGCAGGGAGACAGGCGAGGTCTGCTTTGCTACATGGGAGTCAGCTCCCTGGCCGGGGATCGCACTCAGCCCATTGCAGTGATAGCCTGAGACTCACCCCTAGGCCACCAGGGAGACCTATCACACAGAGATATCCTCCCAGCAGTTCATTTTTTTTTTTTAAGTTTTTGAGTTTTTT